CAAGGATTCAATTTAAGAAATGTTTATTCATAATCATCTATTGGTCTGTAAGAACATTAGAAGGTACATAATTTCAAATTTTTAATTCAAATTCTCCATTTTAGTATGAGCTGAATTAATATTATACAAAAACCCAGCTCTTACTTTTCTGAAAGACCCTGAAGATGTGGTTTTGTCAGTAGACCTGGAGACCACGAATGGAGATAAAGCCGATCAAGGGGTTAATTTGTGTTGCTGCTGCCATGCAGGGGGAGGGTTATAAGTTTTTCTGTTCTGGATTTTTAATGTTGTAAGCTGCCTAGATTCATCTGGGAGTTAGGCACCATGTAAGGTTTTGTAATAAATGAATAAATTTATACAGTCTTGGTCTGTTCAACACTTTTCTGCTTGGTAAAGAATATTTTGCTTATCCACCCAAAATGTCAAGCTTTACCTAGGGCACTGTCAAACTCAAGAATTAACAGGCAGAAATTCAAAACATAGCTCTTTGATAAGCTAGCTTTATTAGGGATACCTGTTCTAGAAAAGGCTGCATTTCAACAAAAACCAATATTTTTGTTCAAATCTACCACCTTCTTTTCCTGCCTGTGTGTCCTAACAGACTGACAGCTGGTTGGTTTTCAGAGAGTTGCTTGACACCCATTCATTGTTACAGTAAGGAACCTCTCGGGTTCTTGATCCATTTAGCCTTCATAAAATACTGTGTATGAGACAACATGAGAGTAATAGAGGCAAAACATCATTGTCCTTTCATACAATTTGAGAGGTGATAGTACTAGCCATTTTGGAAGAATTGTTTAAAGTTTGTCTTGTTATATTGAGAAAGAAAGGATACTGGCCAGACACATATCAGTAGGGTCAGGTTTATGAACTGAAATGAAAGCATAAATGAACTGTCTCACTCCAAAATTGGGACAGGAAGTTATGCAAGATAGAGGCAAACAATTCAGCCAACTGATGTAATTCTCTACGTTGAAGAGAGGTGGAGATTCTTAATAGACTGGAATCTCGTCTCTTTTAACATTTAGCTTAAAGAATAACAAGCAAACTAATACAAGATAAGTATTAGGAATTCAATAATAGCTTTGGTTTCTGAAATTTTGCTGCTGCAGTATTACTTTTTTTTTTTTTTTTTTTTTGCAGCAAACACAGGAATATAACAACATACCACAAATTATTATGAGTATTATATTGGTTACCTCTGTTGTTAAGCTATAGCTATGGCATTGGAGATTGTAGCTACCATTGATACTTCATTGGAGGGTGAGATAGATAGGTAGTGCTAAATACATTAAGGTGAATTAATCTCTACTTGATGAAAAATAAACTCACATAACCTTGGAGCTTAGAATTTGCACCCTCGAGGATAGGAAGTTGGCAGAGTCATTGGGCTATCAACCCAGGCCTTCCTCAATCAATAACATAGACAGCTAGCATCCAACAGTTAAAAACGAAAAGGACTGGAGCAAGAGTTGGTTCATAAAACATAACTTTGCTAACCTTGTTATTATAGCTTAAATGGAATGCAGCTGAAAGTGCCTGTCTAGAAAGTTTGAAGAATGTTATTAATCAACCTATTACCAAATCATGAATTGGCATGTGCAAAGCATGTGATACAAGTAAGTGAATCAATCTTTTCAAAGTTAAGCCAGTACATTATATGATTGACTTACCTTTGCTGTCCTCTATTATCCAGCATCTTTATTGGATTAATCTATATAGCTGTAATATTGAGTTGGGATGTCTCTATGGGCTCTAAGAGTATTTTTATTGTGATACACAAGATATTTGTGTAGAACATTATTTTTGCTAACCTGTAAACAACCTATACTTGTTGGTTAGATGCCATTATCATTTACTGCTTTAATACTTTTAAGAAATTGTACTTACCACTGATAGCTGATATTTAATTCATATGTTTTATTTAGGATGATTAGCCACCTGCATTGCCCAATGAGCAAATCTTATGTGTATTGTCTTAGAGATAGGAAGTAATGTATAACTATAATGACCATTGGACATCTTTTCATCTTTATGGAAGTGCAAAGTCTATCTGAAGTTGTAATTCTGCAGTCCTGAATAGGTCAGCCACATATCTTTCACAAAATAGAAGCTCTGTTCAAGCTAACTGATGGCTCCAAGATTTATAAAAGAGGAGTCAGACAACTTTTAAAATCACAAGTGTTTTATTTCAGTTTGAATTGGTCAAGAGCTAACACAATATTACCAAAATCTTTCAATATTTGCGGTCTAATATATCAGATTTTGGCTAGCACCAGCATAATAGTCGTGTTCTGTAATTTACTTCAAAAATTATTTGCAAAATGATGTTTGTATTCAACAAATTTAATGTAAGGTAAATCACAGACTTAAAATAATGGTTGCATTTAATTATCAGCAAGAGACAGATGAACCAGTTGCCAGACCAAGGGTATCAAATGAACAACCCTTCAATGAGAGATGTGGATAGACACTGGATTAATAATTCCAGGTGCAGCATTTCACCTGCTCTGATAATATTCTGAATATAAAATAGATTGCATAAGAATAAGCAATTTTAAAGCACAGTCTTCCCCAATATGGTGCGTCCAGCTATGTTGAAATTTCATATCTGGATGGTGCAAGACTGGGGAAAGGAGAGATGGCACTAAGTATTCAAAGTTCATAAAAGAAAACTTATTTCACGTGTTCAACAGATTTTGCACATATTATTTGTATGTGATACATTATTATTAAATTGTAACAACAGTCTTCTGGAAGGTAAACCTGCATTGTCCTGGTGCAGATGTAGGGATAAGAGTAAGAATGGATACTTTGTCTATCCATGAAGCTCAAAACAGAGCAAAGAAGTTAAGGTGTTGTTTCTTGCATCCATCTATAAATCTTATAAATTATACTCACACATTCCATGCAAATCTGATTACTAAAAAAACCCAAAAACCTAAGGAAGCAAGATCCTGAGTTGGGCAACTGCTGAATCATCTGAAAAGAAAATATATCTTTAAAATAAATGAACAAATCAATACAATTAGGCTCCAAATTTGATTTCCTAGCATTTACTGAGGACTTGATACTCTATGACAGGAGTGTCAAACTCAATTGCATTGAAGGCTGCATCTAGGTTGTGTTTGACCTCAGGGACTGGGGGTCAAGGCCAGGGTGGGCGTGGCCATCTCAATGTCACTCATTGAGGCTCCATTTTCAGTCATAATGGCCTCCAGGAGCCCTCTGCCAGGGAGGTGCCAGGGGGGCCGCACACTGGCAGAGGGCTCCAGGAGGCCGTCGCAGCTGAAAACGAAGCCTGGGTGGGCCGCATACAGCCTCCCTGAGCTGTTTTCACTGGCAGAGGATTTCAGGCCATTGCAGCTGAAAACAGAACCTGGGAGGGCTGTCTGCGGCCGTCCCAAGATCCATTTTCACTGGCAGAGGCACCACGGGCTGGTCCGTTGTTTCCAGGGCAGGCCCACAGGCCAGATCTAAGTACCCTGCAGACCAGAGCCAGATCCGGATCGCAGGCCTTGCGTTTGATACCCCTGCTCTATGATGAGTATCAATTTTGCCAAAAAGATATAGAAGTGTTTGGTAGAGATAGCTCCAGAAAGGCAAACACAGCACCATGTTGCTTATTATTAAAAAATAACCAAAAGGAAACTTCCATAAAGTCCTGGAATACATGGTGCGCCACACTTGTAATACATTATCCTGAGATCAATGATTATCTTTTGCAACCTTCTGCCAAGCAAAGTCAATGGGGAGGTCAGATTCACTTAGCAACTATGACAACGAAGGTCTTAAAATGGGACAAATTCACTTAACTGACTTGCTTAGCAACAGAATTTTTGGGCTCCCCTATAGTCTAAGTCAACGACTACCTGTACTATAGAACTAAAATTAACATCAAAAAGACCTGGAACATCTTTCTTATGAGAGAAGGCTCCAAAATGTGATTTGAAAAACAACAACAAACTTAAGTGAAATACAAAACTTTGCATAGTGAAAATGTAGAGAACAGAAATTTTCTCATTGACAACAATTTGCATTTGAATTTATTCAATGAAAATAATAGGAAATTCACAAGGGGGGAGGGGGGGGAGAATCTTAACAGTAGGGTAATGATGATTTAATAGTTGACCAGTTGCTGTAAAGTTGTAATATTGTAATACTGTAATGTTGTAATGATGATGCAATGGTAGCAATGAGTCGGCAGGGTTATTTGACTGCTATCACTTTAAGAGGCTGTAATATAAGAGAGACCATGTGAGGGCCTATCTCTTTCTCCATGTGTGCTTCCATGGTGTAGCTGATTACTGATTGCTGTTTATTCAAGGCCTGTATCAAAGTATATATGCTTTTGTAGGGATAAAACCACTACATGTAAATACAAACCTGTGTGTTGTATTTGCTCCTGAGTTGTTTCACCTAGTCACACTGTGTATACTCTGACACTAATGTGCAGGTTTTGCTGTAAAAAGACATGGTGAATGCTACTGAGTATAAAATAGCTTTTTAAAAAGAACCAGATAAATTTGTAGAGAATAAGTTAATATTTATGAAGCATTTGTCTGCTTCTGACTTAGAACACTTTGGGATATTGGCTGCCTCCTGTGATAAAATCAATCTTCTCCCCATTTTCAATATCTTCCTGACTAGGAAGTAGGTCCAAGTATTCATAGGCACACAAGGTCAGCCTTGGATTAACCATTATGCAAAATAAGCATGTGCTTGAAGCACCAAGGGAAGGGGAACATCACTTTTTCCCTTGATTACAGATAGTCCTCAACTTACAACAGTTCATTTAGTGACCATTGAAAGTTACAATGGTCCTGAAAACAGACTTATGACCATTTTTCAGACTTACGACCATTGCAGAATCATGGTCACTTGCTTGGCAACTGGTTCATATTTTTGACGGTTGCAGTGTCCCGGGATCATGTGATCACCTTTTGTGATCTTCTAACAAGCAAAGTCAATGGGAAAGTCAGATTCACTTAACAACCATGCTGCTAACTTAATAATTGCAGTGATTCACTTAACAAATTGTGGCAACAAAGGTTGTAAAATAGGGCAAAATTCACTTAATAAATGTCTCACTTAGCAACAGAAATTTTGCGCTCAGTTAGTTGTAAGTCGAGGACTACCTGTATTATGCCCTTAACTTTTTCATTGCCATGCACAAAGTAACTTTTCAGTGCTTATTGAGTCTGTCAGTTAAGCAATCGGAGGATGAGAGGCATCACTGCCATGCTTAGAGCATCAGTTGGCCTTAATCTGTCCTTCTAAAAGACAGGTATAGTAATCATTGGGATAATTCAGGTCACTTCAGGCAAGTTGTCCTTCAGACTAATCCCTCCGGTTGTAAAAGCATCATTTCCCTTTTAATGATTGCAAAATGGCTAAACCACACTAAGGAGCTGCAGGTATCCCTTGTCCTACCTTTCCATGCTACTTTGGTGGATTACTTATAAAATTTAGGTTTTTAATAGCAACCTTAGCTAAATGCTCTTCCTTTTTATTTAAAAACACATACATTTCTAAACTTCTAATTCTTGTTTTCAATCAACCCCCATGTGTCACAAAAGGTAGCCTATCGTGATTTTAAGGAGAATAAAAATAGTTTTCATGCTAATTAATGCAGGAAAACTTTTGAAACATGCAATAAAGAATATCCTGTTAAATGAAGACTCATATTTGTACACTTTCATGTACAATTTAAGGGACATGGATACCCAGGGAGTATCTTCCAGTGCATTGTGGGAAAAGGATGCTAGACTGTTCTAGCTACATTTCTTAAACAACATTATGAATTAAGGAAAATTACTGACAAGTTCAGGAGCAGAAAAAAAAGCAACCAGCTGTTTTCAGAAATACTGCTCATTTGTACATGATTGAAGATAAAGTTGTCAAACTAAACTAATAGATAATTTAAAGGATATTATATATGTTGCAAGACTGCATAATTATGCTCTCTAGCAAGGTTCTGAATTGGCTCCTATTTAACATTTATTAATTACTAATTTATTATTAGTAATTAAATGTTAACAAAGCATTAGGTAAATGAGAATATACCTACAGAATGAACAAATTTCTATTTTGGCACCTTAAGCATGATAATATAATCATAAATGCCTTGATTAATAGTGTATTTTAATAATATAGTCTGGTTCAATTAAAAAGAATTTATAATAGGTGAAGTAGGATGAACTGATGTTAAAAATTAATTTCTAAATCAAAATGCAGCACTATGTTTGTTTTTTCAGAAGTGGCTCTCTTGAGTTATGCAAAACTTGCTCCTAAGTAACTGTGTGTGGAGCTGCAGGTTCCTTTTGGATTAGAGACACTTAGTTATGGTCTTCAAAACACAGAGGAATATGGTTCAGGAAATATTTTGTGCCCGCAAAGGATCAAGGAGGACTTAAGGCTTGGAATAACTGCTTCCAAGTAATTCCATTGCTGACTAATTGGCTACAAGTAATGCATTCTCACCATTGCCATAACGCAGAAAATGACATATTCTAAAACCCAAACATTTGTCACCATGAAGATATAGCAGAAAGAAGGGCTCAGATTTGCCTAGATTTCTCTCTATAGCCAGACACACAAACACACAAAAGGAAAAGAAGAAAGGAGATGGAGTGCTGCTCTTTCTGGAATATTCCAAGCTCTGTTCCTGACAACACTCTACAAAGGTGTTTGTCCAGGAGTCCATAGGCACCAAGTCCAGGCAGTTTTCACTCATAAACCCTTATTAAAATAGGCAAAAGTCACTTTGTCCCCATGTTCAGCTACAATTCGTTCTCTGAGTTCAGGTTCCAGGTGCGAAATTGCAATTGAACTAAAAAGAAAAAAAAACACATTGTTCTCCTAAGTGCTTAAAGGCTGCTTGATACTGGCCCAAAGACAAAGTGTTATTGAGGTGATGTAATATTGGCAGAGGAGACAAAAATTGATTTATGAGTTCTGTCACAGATAATTGTGGTAAGACAGAGCTGATATTTACTTGCAAAATAAGGGCTTCCCTCGCTGTTTCCACTATGAAATGAATGCTGCTGCAATAATCAAGAAAGGTTGAATTGAAATGACAAGACTTGGGAAGTCGGTGCCAATCACTTCTTCATGCAGTGAGCTGTCTTAGGCCAGCCCTGACCATATAAGGCATGTACAATCCACAGAATGCCCCAAAACATGGGTGTCAAAGTCACAGCATCAAGTTGCCGTCATGTGATGTTCTGTGATGTTTTTCCCATTTGTGGAGCTGGGGTGGTCGTGGCCTATGTGTGATGCATTTGGCCTGTGGGACACCCCTGCCCTAAAACAAGCTTCCATGTTGCAAGGCCTCTTTTTACAACTGGCCTAGGATTCAAACACAACTGAATTCAACTAACGCAGTGATGGCTAACCTTTTCAGCTTGGTGTGTCGAAAATCGGGAAAAAGT